AAACAACAGGGTGGTGCAACAAGGAAACTAAATTAAACTCCATTCAGGTGTAAAAGATTCAGGGGACAGTTCATACACTGTAGAAACAAGTTGAAAAGTTAAGAGACTTTAAATCCAAATGTGAAAACAGCCACAGAAACTAATATGAGATGGTTTTCAACGGTTAAAAGTTCTGTCTGATTTTTTTTTTCTCATTTTATCCACATTGAGTCAAACTCATTGTCTGGTGATTCATGTGCTTCTGGGTGAAATTGAAACTTCAACCCTTCAGACTTCATGGGAACAGACTTGATCTTAATTAAAACAGGACACACATTTTCATTTCTGAAACTCGAGCTGCTACAACAGGGAGTTTCTGAGGTGTTCATGTGCAAGGCAGCGCCATCACACTACTTTCAGATTGTTCTGAAACTCAAGTCCGTACAAGCAGCAGCAGTGGTTTCACATACAAACAAAACAACAGCACACTCAAATCAAGGTGATAGCATTTCCCCCTTCCCCAGAGTTCTGCTGCTCACACCCTCAGTTTAAATAGTTTGTGGAATGTACCACATCAGCTGGAGGGAAGGGGACGATTCATTCAATAAACTATAAACAATAAACAGTCACACCCAGAGATCGTTTCTCCGGAAATGTATTTTCAGATAGATTTGATATATCTGTGTTTGGAGGTGAAGAAAAACCTCAAGAGACGACATTGTTGTCATCGAACTCCCCCTCACAGTTCAACCCACTTCACAGACTCCACTCTCTCCAACGAGCAGCAGCTGTGACACAATGAGCGATGACACGTGTGACGTCCACGAGGAGCCGACAGGAAACGTCTCACAACATCGCAGGGGGACGAGAGAGCACGTCCGAACGCGGGAGATGGAAATAAACACGGTGTCAAATCAAACGCTGCTTAATAAATTATACATGTCGCAAAGATAAAAATGTCAAAATGTTGTTTACTGGACTGTCACAGACATTTTGGTTTTAGAGAAGTAAAAAACAACCGGGGGGCCTCAAAGATCCTCTTCTCGTTTTGCTTTGTTTTATCTCTTTCTTCTTTCTTTTGCTTTTTGATGATTCAGAACAATTAAACTGCTGAAGATCAAATCTACAACTTTCTGTTTCTACACGGTACATTTTCTTTTACCACCTTCTTCTCTACAAATAGTTTGACTCGCTCAGACCGACGTGGACATTCATCCTGAAACTGAAGCCATTATAAAACCAATGTGACCCCCCCCCCCCCTGCTAATGAGGATGCATGCAGCGATTCAGCCGAGATACACGTCCACTTTTCCAATACGACTCCCGGCCGGATTGGATTTGGACCAGTTATTGAGATAGCAGCGCGACGAGAGGACATTTCCGCTCAATCCAATTACGATGGAGCCAGAAGAGGGACACGCTAAGGACATGTCAAACAATCAATTGATATTAATGGAGGCGGTTCAGTTTAGTTTCTGCTTTGCGACGTGGAGGAGGCTGAGCTCGTTTATCTTTTCGGACTCATCTCCAGTGTTTGTGCAGACCGGTGTTTATCTACTTGTTGGAATCTCTGTGGTAAAATTAAAAGTCCAGAGTGTTTCTGAGTTAAAGACCAATCCATCTTACTTCACGTTGTTTACGGAGAACTGATAAAAATCCGATTTATCTGTGCTTCTTCATAAAGTTTAGTGCCGGAGTCTGCTGCTCACAGAGCCATTATCTGTCCCGTCTGTAGGAATCAACTACCTCCGACATTTAACTATCAATAAAACCAAGATGGAAAATGGATTGGTGACATTTGGCAAACTGGTATCACTGAAATGGCTTTCAACCACTATTCACTTTATTATTTACACCGTGTTTGTCAAAATGTCACATTTTTCTTGGAAATTCCCCAAGAAAATATGCAATTCATCATATTAACAAAAAAACCCCCAAACTGACATTCCCCTGGGTGCAGAGCGGATGTCTCTACGCGACTCCTGGGATCCTATTTCATTGTCTTGGCAACATATCGACGCAGCGCTTGGCAACAATGCACGCCATCGGTTTGTTTTGAGTTGAAAGGTTATTAAAATATCAAGAGCGTCTTTCCACAGCACACCTTAGATTCTGATTCTCAAACAATCCCCCATTGTGCGAGAAGCCAGCAGCGTCTCCCGTAACTGTGGTGACGTCTTTGACAAAGATGCAGACCCTGCTTGTTTTTCACTGCCGCTGTGGACCTGAGCGCCGGAGGAAGGCCGGCGGAGGTGAAACGAGGACATGCACGTGTTTAATATCACAGCCTATAATATAATTAGCAGAATAAAAGCCTCCCTGTGCTTTGAATCTTTAGTAATAAAAAGAAGAGGCCATCCTGAAAACGTCGACTGTCTTGTGATAGTTACGCTGCTGTAAACTTTCTGTGTTACTTCATCGACTGGGTCTCTGGAGACAAGGGGCCCAAGGATGGGTTAATTTAGTTTATTTTCTGTTTTCTGTTATTCATCTTTGGAAATATATCCTTTCCTTTTCAATGTGTTTATTTAAAGTGTTTATTTTAGTTTTTTGTTTGTACAGTTTGCTTTAATCCAAATGTTTGGTTCTTTTGCACTGACACATGTGTTTGAAATAAAAACACACAAAACTGGAAACAAGCAAGGATAGAAAATTGAAATTAATTATAAAACCTACAAGAAAGAGTAGATAGAGAATTATCTTATCTATCTTGTGTGTATTATAATTTTTAAAAACATTTTTATTTGACTTTTGTATTATGAAAATGAGCAATGAAGCTGAAGTACACTATATAAATATATATATCCGTGCATGACGCTCAGCAACCCGATTAAATGTGTGTTGTGTTGTTTGACTTGTTGGAACGTGTGATATAAGAATCTCTTAACTTCAGGTGCTGCTACATTTCAATGCAGCGAGCACAAGTTAATAATTCAAACAAACGATCAACACTTGAAATACAAAACCTCACGTCAGCATCTGAGCAGCGTTTTACCTGCTCCTCCAGTTTATGACTTTTACTGTCGGCTACTCGCTCAGTGTCATTCAATGAAAGTGTGAACACTCCATCACAACAGTAAAGATTTATTATCCAATGTGAAATATTATTTTCAGATGTCTGGAGCTGATATTCAACCAGTTTGATCTGTAATCTGTTTCTCTGCAAGTGATGAGGTTTTCTTATCAACCAGTCCACTCTGCCCAAAGCCTGTTTCTACTCAGGACCAGGGGCGTTGCAACAGGTGCCCCCGGGCTGAGAGGGGCCCCCCTGAGAATGACCGATTACCTTTAACAACAATTCTGTGAGAGCCCCCTGGAGTTCTATGACTGCAACAACACCATTTATTTATCAGACTGTCTACTCGTCCGTTTCTTTCCGAACCACTTGGACTCTTAATATTTTTTAACACTCTGCAATGACAACAAATGTGTTTAAATATTGAATTAAGAGACAAATAGATCGTTGGCACATTGATGCCTCAACTTCTCCTGTAAATTCGTGCTGCGTCAATGGAACTGACCATAACGGACAATCACATGCATGTAGAGACAAAGTCCTGGTAGAATAGAGCATAATGGGAACAGGATATTCCACTGTGGTTCCAGTGATGGAAATGAAAATCTAAAAATCTGCCAAAGACTCAGAATGACCAAGGAGTTAGTCACCATTAGTGGACAGGAATCAAAGAGGCATTGTAATGTGCACAAACCTCAGAGCTGAACACGTTTGCATGAGTTTGAGGAGAAAACAATCTATGCTTCAAACGCCAAGGAGGACGAAGATGGACCGAGGAAGGCATCACGCAGCAGGAGTTCTTTCTAAACTTTATTCTGCTGACGTTAATACCCAAAAGATAATAATACTGCACGCTAACTCCAAATGTTTACCCTGAGCCGCTGCCCAGATGTGCATCCAAACATGTGCATGAGTTTGCAGACGTCACCTCATTACTCATTCATGGCTGTGGCTTGTGATGCTCCACTCAAACGCTCCGAACGGCGTCTGTTTCTCACCGAGACGAACGCTGTAATTTGGAGTGTTAATCGGCTTCCCTCCCTGTAAATAACGCCGCTGTCAATAATTCATGGATTAATCAACACATGTGAATTTGATTGGGAGGGAGGAGAGCGAGAGTGACACAGAACAAACACACACACACACACACACTCTGGCTGAAGCAAAGAGAAAAAAAGCCGAGACATCCAGATCTGTTGGACACATGATTTAATTTGTTACATAAGCGAAGAGAAAAAAAAACATCGGGAGACGACAGAACGCCACTTTTCTATTAAACAAAGCTACAGAAACATTTCAACAACAACTCAAAACAGTGAAACATCTCGACACGACCCTCATGACACGGTGAATGATCCCTTTAATGGCTTTGCTGACGGAGGGCAAAGTGTAAATAAAAGACATATATTAAAATCCTCCTCATTCTTAATTGCATAAAATTGTTCAACAAATCTTTTAATGCTCTTCTCCTCAAATCCTCAAATATCAGGCATGGAAACAGGGTCAGGAAAAAGTGCTTATTCCCACTTCCTCACCCGAGTTATCGCTGGAAAATAGAGAGAATAATCCGTTTTATAGTCGCTGCACACTGGAGCTGACAAAATATCTCATTGCCCTGTTTACAAGAGGAAGAAGAAAAAAACACCCGAACAGAAAAACCTCCTCTGAAGACTCCAAAAATGTTCCTGAATAATTTCTGCACATTATTTTGTTGTGTAACAAAGACACACACAAAAAAAAAACCCCAGCTTGACCCACTTATGAGGATTTTTTTTAATTTTGTAATTGAATTACTGAGGCAAAGCGAATGCAATTTCACATCTTCCTCTCTATCTGCTTCATCTGAATCAATAAAGTGCAATCGTGCTTATTTCCGTGTCCATCGCTAACATGCTAATGTCAGCTTGATAAACATGGTTCGAGCTGATAGAGCCGGCACTCCAACACAACCGCTCTCGCTGTTTGAGCATCTGGACACTGCACAATCATCAACAAACTGATTCTGCACAAATAAAAGAGTTTTATTTCCAAGAGCTAAACAAAATACATGTTCCTAAAACACGACTTTGTCCTCTTCAGCACTCGTTTCGTAAGCACAGCTGTCCCAGAATGAGTAATCACCTCAGCGCTCGACCTCCCTGTGACTTACTTTCAAGCATTTTGGCAAAAGCTGGCATCAGTTGTTTTCTTTCTTTTTCAAACAGCGGACGTCTTGTTTTGTTGTTAGCCTCTTTTGGCGTTGGGTCTGCCTGGGCAACGTTCTCCAAACCACCAAGCCCTGACCCCGTTCAGCGGAATAAACTCAAACCAAAGGTGCATCAGAGGAAACAGACTCCTTCTCTCTGCACCGAGAAAAAAAACGACTCAGACTAATGCAAGTTTGTTGAACTTCAACCTCGGATCCACGGAGGCCCCTTTCTGCTGAACTTTAGGCAGAGGCTACGTGAGCTTTAATGCAACGTCAGTGCACGATGGATGTGAATACAGTGAGAACATTCTAACGGCAGGAGTCTGTAATCTCGACATGAGGCGTTACAAGCGTGACGAGCCTTCGTCTTCATATCTCTCTGCCGCTGGGTAAGCAGGATGAGATGTGTCCCTGTTTGTCGACTGCAACAACAACAACCTGTTCTGGGATTAAAACTCCCTGTTTGTGTTTCACGACTCCCACTGAGCTCACTTTGCGCCGGCTCTTTTCTACTATTAAGAGGATTTGTTTCCTAATTGGAGACCTGTGCCCCTGCTCGTCGCTCCCGCCTCTAAACGCTCGGCCCCCGTCGCTGTTGTTTTGTCCTCTTCTTATTCCCTGTAGTGAGCCACCAGGATCAGTTTGGGTTTGGGACCGTCAGCAGCAGGGGGGTGGGACACAGCCGAGTCTCGATTCGATGGAGCCAAGCGATTGGCCCCCTGCGACGACCCGTGGATGGAGTTGGGCGAGGGCATGGCGGTGGAGGGGGCCTGAGCAGAAACGTGGTGTTCCCTCTCCTGGCGGACGGTGCGGAGTGTCTTGGTCGCCCGCGAAAATGTCTTTATGCTGGAGCCTCGCTCGGGGATGGAGCAGTTGAGGAATGCCTTGAAACACCTGTAGAACTGCACACACACACACACACACACACACACACACAAACACACACACAAATATGGGAGCCACATAGAAACAGACAGAGATTTCTGGAATTAGTGGATAATAAAAGTTATTATAAAACGGACAGGGGAGTGAAATCTTGCAACGTGAAGCTCAAGTTTTCATTTATTGTCATAACAGGAAACATCTCGGAGACAGATGAGCCGCACAGACGTTAACAAGGTGAGAGGGAACGGTCCAGTACTTTATTAGAGGACGATTATTCAAGTTCTCCACATATTCAACTTTTATTAATAGTTCCCTGAACTTCTCTGGGTTCAGTTAAGAGAAAAATGAACAAAACATCTCTGAGTCAATATCAGTGAAAACAACAAGGTATATCATGTTGATCGAGTTCATCTGTGCAGGTCTTTCCGTCGTCCAGCAGGCAGCGCGCTCCCCTGGATAAACGTAGTGTACTTAGTATACTTTCCGGTTCCACACGTATACTTAAAGTCTACTACATTTCCCCAGGGCGCCGCAGATCAAACGAGGCGTGCTGCGTAAAGCATGACCCCTCGGAATCTCTCATTACATCATCATAGCGAGTTCTTCCCTCAAAGCATGTTTCTATCAGTTGTAGAGGAGAAAAAAAAAGTGACATCCAGCGAGCGATTTGACAAATGGGAGCAGTTTGCGCTGCTTTTCGAGATACTTATAAGCAGCCAACAGACAATTCATCACATATGAGCCAATTAATTTCTGCTACCCCGAGGAAATTGTGCGGCTTTTTAAAATGAGCTTCCCCCGTTTCAAATCTCCTTCTAGTGTCTCAAATCCCACTGAGTTAATCTACTGGAGAGCCGTGCTCGGGAAAACAAAGCTGTTGGTTTTAAAAGCAAAAACCCCAGGGGGGGGGGGGGGGGGAGACGGGTGGATGTGCAAAGTGAGGGTTGGAGGTGTGAAGGAGAAAAGGGATGTCTGAGGTGAAGGAAGGGCGGGGGAAAAAACAGAGCAACCGACGTCATGAAGGATTAGATCTAAAATCAGGCACAGATTGGATCTTAAGACTGAGACGAAATCCTAACCTGCAACTCCCAGTGTGTGTGTGTGTGTGTGTGTGTGTGTGTGTGTGTGTGTGTGTGTGTGTATAAGGCAAACAGACGTGTGATAGAACTCTGACAATAATATGTGCATAAATAATGCATTTCTCAATCTGACATTCTCTTTTGGGCAAAAAAAGGCTTCAAGGGGAAAAGTTTGCACATTTGAAAAGATGAGATATATAGCAAAGGCTGCAGGAAACAGATTTTTACTACAGAAGATGCAGTTTTCATTTCATGCCGTCTCTCAATGTTTAATGTCTCGACTCCTCCGAGAAGCTGAAACAATAAAAAAGAATTAAAGAAGCAGAGGTATTGGGAGAGGGGGGGGGCGCGACGTTTCCCCGTGCAGGGAAAAAAAAAAATAGGAAAAAATTCTCACTTCAAGTAAATAAATAAATGATTTCCTCCGACCAGGATTTAGATTATCCTCTTAGAGAACAGCTTTAGGGCCGGTGGTTCCCAATCATTGTGAAATGATTTACAAGAGAGGAATCAGAGAGAGAGAGAGAGAGAGAGAAAGCTATTTTTTGTAATTTCGTCTTTTTTATTTCCTCTTTTCCAAATAATTGGACAATTTAACCTCTTCAGGCCTCTAAACAGGAAGTAAAGGAAAAGCAGCTGAATGGTCGAACAGTTTTAAAGCTGTCACAAGCCAAAGAATCGTGGAAGTGAAAATTACCTTCCATTACATTTACTGTAGTAAAGTACAGATACATGAAAAATACACTTCAGTACAGTGAGAGAGTAAATGTACTTTGCTGCGTCCCATCACTGAATTGAATTTGCTGTTTAACAACAACAAAGCTGACCAGTTTTAAAGTCTCTCAGACTGTGACGGTGACTTGTTCAGAGAGACGCCTCGGGTCCAGGGCATGAATCTGCGCAGCGCTTGAAGTCTTCAACTCGCCTCAACACACGGCCGCCATAGTTATGGGCTGGGAGGAACTGAAGACTGAAAGCGCCACGCAGCGCGGCCTCGGCGGAGCGTTTATCCACGGCCCTGAAAGCTCTTTTCAACAGTTTCATCATCATCACAAACACACGCGCACCGGAAAAAAAACGTCCACACAGGGCGCAGCTGTAACACAAGTCAGTCATCAAAGAGACTTAAATGTCTCACAGGCTCAAAAGTGACACACAGGCGGGAAAGCAAAGAGATGGAGTGAGGTGGCAGCAGATAAAAAGAGAGGCAGACAGATAAAAGAGTGGCTGGGTGTGTGAGGGAGGAAGGAAAGGTCGCCGCCACCGTGCTGTTCCCCGATAGTGACATAATCGAAATCAAAGCTACGTTACCTTTAGGAGATTAAAAACAACTTTCTTTTCCCTTCCTGTCTTTCATCTTCTGTGTCCTTCCATCATCCCTCTTTTCACTCATCACCACTTTGACTACAAACTACATCACGCTAATGTTGGCACAAGGTTCAGGTTTTATGCTCCTTTTTTAAAAAAAAATGAAATGAGCTTTAATCATTGAACATTCCCCCTCTGGGGTTTTAAATCTTTCTCGTCTGATAGTTATCGTGATTCTTCTCATTGTTTCGATGAAATCCTCGTTTTTTATTCATTAGTTCTGATGTTTCTCTTGATGATTTAATACAAAATTGAAATCCCATCCAAACCGTTCTGTCACGATGATATGTTTGACAGGACACAACAGGTGAAAACAAATGGGCAGTGTTCAGTTTGAATTAATGTTGAAACCTATTTTTAAAACTTTAAAAGTTACTTTGAATCGCTGTAAGAAATATCACACTTTAATACTTTTGTCTGGAGGCAAAATAGTAGAAAGATTCATTCTAATTCATTTCTTGGTTAATGGCATGTTTTCTGTTAAATAAATAAATAGATCGTGAGGACTTGTTTTTTTTCTCCATCCTCTGTGCAGGTAAAATAAAACCAATGGGGGAGGCTTTTTATTTTATTTTGAAAGGATACAGATATTATACGAATGACCCCTGTGCAGATTTGTTTTCGGGTTAAAAGCTGCACAAAGTACAGTTTGATCTGCTGAAGGCCTCGGGCATCCACCACATCACTTCTCTCTCTCTGTGCCGCGTCCTTGAATGACAGTGATGTGTATCGCAGCCTCACGGGGGGTTGGGGTGGGGGGGGGGGGCTGTTATGCCTTGGCTGCGACACCACGATAATAATGTTGTGTGTCTGTCTCCTGTGTGTGTGTGTGTGTGTGTGTGTGTGTTTGCAGCGGGATGTCTGAAGGTGTAAATGAGGAGCCAGCAGATGGAGGAGTGGGGGTCTGCTCCTTCCATCACAGACTCTCCCTGAGTGTGAATCTTATATAACTTCCATTTCTGGCCGGGGGTGTGATTATGTGTCTTAATAAAGGGGGGAGAATATAATTAGACTGATTTATTATAAGACACAGAACAGCTGACTCCATCTACATCACTTTAGTTTAGGTAGATTTAGAGCATTCATTACTTTCACATTTGTTAACACTCAACATTTAATAAAGGGTTTAAAACACATTGAGCAGATATGATATTTTATAAACAGTATTTGTTTGTGAACAAGAAATATGAATGAATAAGAACTACTGAGTGTGTCACCATGAAGCTTGGTCGAAGGCTGTGTTGTGGGTTTGGGGAATCCAGGAATAGTTTTAATCACTTTTGTTAACTTTTGATAGTGACAGTGGACGTCTCACCTGTTTGTTCATGAAGATGTAGATAAAGGGGTTGATGACGGTGGAGAACTTGGCCAAGAGCGACGGCGTTATCGTCGCCTCCGGGGTCAAAATGTCATGGGACCCAAAGGTCGCGAGCAGAGCCGCCACTCCGTACGGCAGCCAGCAGACCAGGTAGCCCACCACCATGGTGACGACCATCACCAGCACCCGCTGCTCACGATGACGGGCCACCATCGAACTCCGGACCTGAGGGGAAGATGAAGAAAGCTCGTTGATACGTCGGTAAATAATCCAGGGACAGTTTATATCCAATACTGTGCAGCGACATCAGAGCAGAGCTGCGAGAAGAAATCATTTCAATCAATTATCGGATCGACACAAAACTAATTTAATGCTCATTGAGTTTGTGACTTTTGGTCGACTTCTGAATACATCTCCTGAGGCTGTGGTAAATTATAATGAGCAGAATAAGACCATGAAATATTGAATTTTCTTCACCTTTTAGCCACAATTCTCTCATTCTTAGTTTTGAATACAAAGATGCCAAATCCAGTTTTTCTAAAGAGAACCTGATATCAACTTTACTGACACAAAACAGCGACTGAAACGGATTATTTGTCTGAATAAGGTTTCACGTCTGCAAGTTCAATCTCACCTCTCCTGGAAATCAGCCCAATAGGAGGCTTTGGAAAATGTTTAGCCTTTTTTGTGCAGCTTAAACCTGCACAGGGGTGGTTTACTTCTTCATTCAGAAGGAGATAGATTCACTTTGTTGTAAAAAAAAACACAAACTTGTGAAAATGCTTGGCCAGAAACGGGTCCTGACGGTGCAGAGGAGCTGCCATCTTTTCCATAAGGTCTTAATATTGGAGTTTCCAACCTTTGACTTCCAGAGTTAAATCATCCTGGCTGTGTGACTCTGAGCAAACTGCAGCCCTGCGGCGCTGGCGACAGCTGCTGCGTCAGCTGGACGTGGAGGAGGATGCGTCCAGGACGTTTTAAGAACATTTCAGACCTCCACCCCCCACAGTCTGGGGTCATTTTCGCTGCCAGAGAACAGGGCGAGAGGCCAAAACTATAACACGTTACGACATGTGACAATCAAGTCAGCGGTGGACCAGACGCTGTCACACCATCAAGGACGAGCTCCATCATCCTGCTGTTTTCTCAGATGTCAATGATGCCGCACATGGGACCATCAGGGCTCCGAGAACACAGTAAATTATAAAAGATATAAAGATGGCGGTTTCCTTTCGCACATGCACGAAAATGGAGTGAAGTAAAACTGGATCTCTCTGAAATGTTTAAGTTAAAGTCAAAAGTGACTTTGATAAGTCTTTTCATATTATAACCAGGGGTTTCCTATAACACGCACATATATACTGTGATTTATTTACACAATAGAAAAGCTGCAGAGGAAACACACTGTTACAGCTGAAATATGAAGATGCACAAATGCATTATGAAGTACAGTACTGCCAAAAAATACTTTAAGTGAAGTGCTGTAATATTATAAATACTAAATTAAAACAAATACAACTCAAACTGTGGGAAGAAAACTTTCTCCCTCAGTTTCGTTTGTCTTGTACAGGATTTATATTTGAACAAGAGCACACACCCTGCACCACCGTGGGAATGTCTGTGTGTGTGTATAGATATTTGTGTGTGTGTGTTTGTGCTGTAAGTGAGAAAGATGCATGCTGTGTAAGCATGGGATTATCCTCCCCTCAGGTAACTTAACACCTTGGCTGCTGTGAGACAACAGTAAACACACACACACACACACATAAAACCCTGCACATGTACAGACAGCAGAGAAAAATGAAACCCTCTCTCTGTCTGATGCAGATCTCAAACACCTTGAGCATTCGATCTCCTCTGTCTCGACATAATGTTGTGTTTCTTTGTGGTTCATCAGTGAATTATCCAAAGATATTCACACACACACACACACTATTAGATTATAGAATCACATCCTCAAAACAGAGCCGTGAAAACGATAAGGACGGCTGCCAGTTCATTAAAGGAGCCGTTTGTAGCCGTAGATTCCTGTTTTCAGATTCTGTCAACACGTTGGATTTAATGAGCTCAACCACTTATCAGTTTAATTACATGGATGATATAGTTCATTAACCTGAGTTGAATCGCCACCAGCTCCTAATTCTGTGATGATTCGCAGCTTCGAGCGACATGAATACAGAACAAATATGTGACAAAGATGAAAATGAACCAGCCCGTCTTCTGGACTCTGCAGAAATGAGATTATCAACGAGTTAGCAAACACTTTTCTCTACCTTCCCTCAGTGTGACAACTAAAGTGTGTTTTCATTTGTTGGTTTTACTTGAAGCTAATTGGGTGTCATCTAAAGAAATGATGGAAGAAATTAAAAAATATGACTGATGAGGTAAAACAGACTTTACAGGTAAGGAAAAAAGTTTATACGGTTAGACAACACGCTAGCAGCTCTGACAGGCTTCTGATTAATTAACAATTAATTTAGTGCTACCATGGGATCACATGAGAGGAAGTGGATATCTGCACCATCTTATCCGACAGCTGTTGAGACATTACACTACAGATGGCAGCTGTTACCTCAGGGTGGCACTACAGAAAACGTCAAAGCTCTTTATGGTTATCGACTCCCAGGAAGCTAAAATCTGTTTGGTCCGATATCGGCCCAAATCTGGCAGATCAGAACTGGGCCTGGTTGCCAAATTTAATCTAAGGTGTTGCAGGTCTTTTTGATGACTTGGTCCAAATCTGTTCCAAATACACATGTGCCAGGTCTCAGCCTTTTCTTATCTGGGGAATAAGATAAATGCATTTAATCGTGTGAACTATAAAATGTTTATTAAAGTAGGAAAAAGAGAACGGTAACTTTTCTTTTTACATTTTCTTTCTCAAATTTTTTTAATTTTTCAAACTTTCTGTTTTTATAATTCCATCAAAAATACACTACAAACATATATTACAAAGCAGCGACAGCAAAAATAAAACGTTCAGAGAGCTTGCACCCACAGAGCCGTGGAACATGAACCAGCAAATGGTGTGGCAAATTCAATTCTTGTGCAAACAGCACAACACCTGAGTGTGGTTCACAGCCGCGAGCAAACACATTTAACCGTGACCCGCAAAGGTAAAGGAAGACGTATGACGCACAACCAAAGTGTGAGGCAAGCCAAATTCGTGGATACGCACACCGGATGCACGTAGCTCCCGAACAGAAGTAATAAATCAAGAGAATGATGCAAATGCAGGCACATTAGGTGAGATCACTCACTTAATGTTCACAGTCACACACGCACAAAACACACAAAGGTACGCAGCCTGGATCTCATCAATATCCGCAGCTCTGCCCATCAATCTTATCTTTAAACATTTGTTTTCAACTGATCAGTTTGACGTGTTATACAACATGATGATCTAAATATTGGTTCACATCCTGCACAAAAATATTCATGCCCGAAAACAGTCAGAGGTTGAGATGTTAAAGGTGCACGCCTGACGCAAAAAACCATTTCATGTTCTTATCCAAATATTTCCATTTGTAGTCATGTGAAACTGGCACCCATACACATTCTCTGAAATCACTCATACATGCCACTTACAGCTAAAGTCGGTTCGTTCAAGTGAACATGACATGAGAACCACTCGGTCTAAAAATATCTTCATCAACTCCCGAAGCCAGCTGTGAATAATTTGTGTGTAACTGTAGAATGTAAACGCCTCCTCAGGTCGTTTAAACACCCACATTCCCTGAAACAATACGAAGGCCTGTTCTGTGTCATCAGCAGAAGTACAGGAACTCTCTCTCACACACACACACACACTAAATACAGAGTTTTTGTCTCCTGTGATTATCTGACCGTGGGTGTGAAGGTCTGTAGCCTTGAGGTTTAATGAAGCACTTCAGCAGAGTAAACTATAGACCTATCATTAACACCGGCCTGCAGACGAGACCTCTGCATCTCTGCAAAGACAGTTTTCACCTCTTTTGATGCAGAAAATACTTTTCTAACCAATTAAAAACTGTCAACAACATTTTAAACAGTTTTTATTTAATATCATCTTCTTTTCATGGAGGACACTGATGTCCTGATATATACACATACATAAAATAGACACTGTTCGATCAGACCAACTTTAATTGGGTCTTTAACTCTGCTGAGCACCTGGTGTACTTTGTTGATTGAGAAAATAATTGGCAGGAAAAATTTAATTTTTAATGAAGTAGCTGGATTTGATATCAGGCTGCCATAGATCCATCCAGTTTTGTTATGTTTACTTCCCCTCTCTCTTTATCGCTCTAATTCTTCTAAGTTTTAAGAACCACGAACTTTATTTATGAGCTGGACGATAGAAATATCACACCTGAGCCAGAACATACATTATTTCCAAGCGCGTTTGCATATCGGCTCACAAACTGCATTTTAACGTGATGCAACATCCTCCAAGCCCCGCCTCCAACCTTCCTCCGTCATCCTTCACGTTTCTATCGTCCTTCTGTTGAAGTTTCAACAATGCCTTTAAATCTTTCTCAAAACTTTACTTGTACTTTTAGGAAATATGCGTCAGGAGCAAACACAATATTTTACCTGCTCGGCCACAATAACTGGAATTAAATTATCTCGGGAGCCTCCTGTTCCTGCATCACGCTGTAAATTATGTCCACACACAGACAGTGTATGAATTAGTGTCAGCAGCTTTAACAGACGACGTTGTGGAGATGTCAAACCTGATAGAAGGCTCTTGAGATACGCGGCTTCGATTCTCAGCTTTCACGCTCGATTCTTTGAAATGTATGAACTTCGGTCTGAGGCTGACGAGAGGCCCGGAGGCGTTCGATACCGTCGAGGATCAGTTGTGATCATAAATTAGAGCGTGTACCGCTGGAGTCAATAACTTCAAGAGTCACTTCGGAACCCTCTTTGTTTCTGGTGTCATGTCTGGGGTCTATATTCAAGTGCTTTGACTGTCTCATATGCAGACGGCTGCATGTTTTTTAATGCAACCACAACGTCCATGATCTAAAGGGCTCAACAGCGTGAAGTAGAAATCCCAGGAAACATACTGACTATCAGCTGTAATATTTTAACCATCCACGGTAGTCAAAGAGTACTACACTACCCATAGTCCTCAGGTGTAATAGAGATGTCTCTGATTGGTGGAGCCCTAACAAGCTGCAGTTTTTTTAGATGCGAGGTGCAGGAAGTCATTGGAATGGGGTCATTTGCAATGGTTCATGGGATGTGTAGTTCCTACACTCTTCAAATATTTACACACACAGTCGGTACCTTTGCTTTTCTTTGTGTTTTCCAATATTGTTTGAGAAAACCAACGCAGACACATGCTCTGACGCTAAGAAACAACATTAATATTTACATTTGCATTTGCAGTCCCACCTGTCTGATGGCGAGCAGCAGCTTGCCGTAGGAGTAGAGGATGACGATGAACGGCAGCACCAGGCAGAAGGTGAACAGGCAGATGATGTAGGAGATATTGTTAGGCGTCTGGGTCCGCCAGTCAACCGAGCAGGTGGTGCCGGGGCCCTCGGGCCCGTATTTGCTCCAGCCCAGCAGCGGGGGGACGGTCCAGGCCACCGAGTAGAGCCAGGAGAAGCAGATCCCTCCCAGCGCGGGGCGGTAGTCTCTGCCGTCAGCCATGGTTGGCGCCATCATGGTGCAGTAGCGCTCGTAGGACAGGACGGCGAGGGATATGAGGGAGACGATGCCTGGGGGGGGGCAGAGAGGAACCGGTCAATGATTATGATGCTTCTGATTTGGCTGTTTGTTTATTTTTTACTCACTAATATTGATATCAACAGCCAACGCCAACATCCATATGGGCAGGGCTCTAACACTGAAGCTCCGATTTATTCTGAACATTTTACATTTAAAATAAAGACGTCTAGTTTACTTACAATCCAACTTTGCATCGTATCCCCGGAACGAAACATGAGCTGCGTGTTGTGACTCAACCTGAATCCTGAGCTAATCATTACATCCTAAGTGGTCACGTAAATCATCATGAAGCTGCTTACACCTGCTTCTCACACGGAACAAACACGCGCTCTCATCTGCATCAAAGCGGACGCAGACAGCAGCACAGCTGTACGCCATCTTCTTCTGCATGTTAATTGCTATTTGATGAACATATGCAACTGGAGAAAATTCTTAAATCAGAGCTAATCAGCGCACACAAGTTAAGTGCCGGTCCAGGGGCACTTTGCTGACTTTGATTACAGACAATCAGAGCACTTGGATCCGTAATGACGGCTTCGCGTTTGGCTTGGACAGCGGGGTGAGGTAGTGGGCGAACACCGTGTTGAGAGCAACAGCAAAGAGTCCTGAGAATAATTAAATTATTGTGTGTGTGTGTGTGTGTGCAGGTAGAGAGAGCTCCCTCTGTCCATTACTGATGCCCTCTGGTTACATAAAGCAGGTCGACTCCACTCCTCTACACTTGTGGGTCAAGCATTATTAACACATTGTGTTGAAATGACAAAAGATACCAACATGTGACCGATGAG